TCTGCTAAGTGCTAACTCTATCCTTTCCTTTCCTTCATATCATTGCCTATAAATAATGGAGCCTCGTTGGTCACTTTAAAGCAGTATAGGAGAAAGACCAAAACTAGAAGATGGAGGAGCAAGGCAGCAGCCATGCTGCAAGGAAGAAGGGAGGCTTGGTCACAATGCCCTTCATCTTTGGTAAGAGCCAATAATATTTACCGTTTTCAAATTTCCGTTGGAGTTTAGTTTACGACAGTGTGCTCTTTTCTTTGCACCGTAGTTTGAATATTTTTCTATATTTAGATGAATTTAGCGTAGATTATCTTGCCGTTGTCAACTTCTTATTCTTTCTCTCTTTATTTATTTTGATTTTAATTAACTATGTTATTAATCAGTGGATTGTTATTGTTGGATTTGTGCGTCTGTAGCTAATGAGGTTTGTGAGAAGTTGGCTGTGGTGGGATTCCATGCAAACATGATAAGCTACTTGACAACGCAGCTTCATATGCCGTTAACAAAAGCCGCCAACACCCTTACCAGTATTGGTGGCACTGCAAACTTGACCCCCTTGCTTGGCGCCTTTATTTCTGATGCCTACATTGGCCGCTTCTGGACTATCACTATTTCTTCCATTATATACCAGATTGTAATTCTCTCTCTCTCTCTCTCTCTCTCTCTCTCTCTCTCTCTCTCTCTCTCTCTACACATATATATATATATATATATAGCTATACATCATGCACTACTAGTACAAGTTTGTAACTCAATTGATTAATTAATATCGTATTTACTCATGCAATTTAGTTGGTTAAGATAATATTTAAGTTTTATTTCTTAGTTATCAAACACCATAAGGGCTTATAATTCATATATTACTCATGCATGTGCTTGAAGTACTTTCTCAAAAGTTCTTATCAACACCATGGAGTCTTTTTCGTGACTCGAGTATAAGAAAAAGAACAATGATCTAGAATTTGTCACAAAGTTAAATAGTTAAAATTACTAAAAAGTATATCCAATATGATTGAGTTGAATTTTTTTAACTCAATGTCACAAATCAGGCTCTTAGAATAGTGCTAAATTACCTTGTCAAATTTATTTTTTTATTAATTAAATATTAATTCCTATTAACGTTTGTATTTGTACAATTAATCAATGAACCAGGGAATGATTTGCTTAACAGTATCAGCAGTACTTCCACAACTGAGACCTCCCCCATGCACCCACGACCAAGTTTGCGAAGAAGCCGACGGAGGGCAGCTAGCAATTCTGTATGTCTCCCTCTTACTAGGAGCACTCGCGTCGGGCGGAATCCGGCCCTGCGTCGTGGCATTCGGGGCGGATCAGTTCGACGAGAATGACGAAAAACAAACCACCAAGACGTGGAACTACTTCAACTGGTACTATTTTGTGATGGGGGTATCAATATTAGTGTCTGTAACGGTGCTTGTGTATATTCAAGACAACATTGGATGGGGTTGGGGACTTGGAATTCCAACTATAGCCATGTTTCTCTCAGTTATTGCGTTTGTGATCGGGTACCCGCTTTACCGGAACTTGGCTCCGGCCGGGAGTCCGTTTACCCGGTTGATACAAGTGTCGGTGGCTGCCTACAAGAAGAGAAAGCTGTCTATGCTGTCTGATCCTAGAATGTTGTACCAGAACGATGAACTTGACCGTCCTATTTCTATTGGTGGAAAGCTTCTTCACACCAAGCATTTGAAGTAACTCTCTCTCTCTCTCTCTCTCTCTCTCTCTCTCTCTCTCTCTCTCTCAAAGTGTTGTGGTACTTTTTACCTGCTTTTTTAATTACTTGGCGAAATTGGCTTGTCCCCCTTCTTTTACCGAGAAGGGATGATATGACTACCACCATCATCACCAAATTATCATGGTTGTTGTTAGGTGGAATCATGCTGCAGGTAAGGACTAGATCATTTTGTCCATGCATTATTCATATATGTTTTTGATGTAGGGACCACAATCCTTTTATCTTCCTTGAGCAGCAGCACCGCACACTTGTGTTTCTGTCACTGTTGTTCTTATGCTATGTAACAGATGTCTCGCGTCTTCTACTCCATTAGCAGAGACTCAGATTCATCCCCACCTCCTAAGTCACCTTTGAAATTTCCACACCGTGGCTCAACTTAGCTTCACATGTGTGTGAATCTAAATCATTAGTTAACTGAGAGACAGTTTAGATTTAATAGAATTCATATTACATAAGACTGTGAATCTGAACAGTTAATTAAATTGATTATTTGTATGATATAAGCCTCTTATCTTGATATCTAGACTGTTTGGCAATATAACATCACCCTAAACCATAACATTACGTATGGTGATCAAATAATGCAGATTTCTTGACAAAGCAGCGATCGCGACGGAGGAGGACAATCTCAAGTCACCAAACTTATGGAGGATCAACACAGTTCATCGCATCGAAGAACTGAAATCCGTGATCAGAATGGGACCTATATGGGGAACAGGAATACTCCTCACCACAGCCTATGCCCAACAAGGCACATTCGTACTCCAACAAGCCAAAACCATGGACAGGCACCTCACAAAGTCCTTTGAAATCCCTGCAGGCTCCATGTCAGTCTTTACCATAGTCACCATGCTCTCCACCCTCGCATTGTACGACCGCCTCTTCATTCCGGTAGCTAGAAAGTTCACCGGGCTAGAGCGGGGAATAACATACTTCCAGAGAATGGGAATAGGGTTTTTCATTTCGATATTCGCCACATTGGTCGGCGGATTTGTAGAAATAAAGCGAAAAGAGGCGGCTTTTGCACACGGGTTGGTCGATCATCCTCATGATACAATCCCCATTTCAGTGTTTTGGTTAGTTCCTCAGTATGCCCTTCATGGGATAGCTGAAGCATTCATGTCAATCGGGCACCTCGAGTTTTTCTATGACCAGTCGCCGGAGAGCATGAGAAGCACCGCTGCCGCGCTGTTTTCGACCTCTATCTCTGTCGGGAACTATGTGAGCACTATTTTGGTGTCACTGGTGCACAAATTTAGTGCTGGCCCTAATGGATCGAACTGGCTGCCGGATAATAATTTGAACAAAGGGAAGTTGGAGAACTTCTATTGGTTAATCACGGTATTACAAGTTGTTAATCTTATTTACTACATATTTTGTGCCAAAACGTATACGTTTAAGTCGATTCAGGTCGTCAAGAAAGAAGGTGCCGAGTCTGGAGAAAATCAAGTGGAGCTTGCCAATAAGGCGCAATTGGCTTAATTAGTATCTGTTAATTAAATAATTAGTGCGGAGGCAGGTAGTCATTAGTCATTAGTTAATATAGCAGTAACTAGATGCTGGCCTTTTAGTGTATAGATATGAGAAGAATATCTACTTTGGATTAATAAAATTATCAATGAAACATCCAGTTTGTATGATCTTTATATTATGTATATTAAAATCTTGGAAGCAGATGAATTTCACTAATTCTTACTCTTGTTTTCCTTTTCTTTTAGGAAAACTAATGCTTGAAAATTTTGAGTTTTAACGATAAGGACAAAATAAAGGGTAAAATAAATAGTACCAGGATTGCATTTTTAGTCTAAAAATATTATTTTTCGTTAAAATGAACAGTACCGAAAGTTTTTCGTTAAAATTCCTTTTTATTTTTTTTATTTTTTATTTTTGTTCCCTAAAAGATGTGATGAAGGTGTTCACCGATCACCCCTTAATTTTATTAAAATAAAAATAGAAATACAAACAAGAGGGACATACAGTCGAACCTCGACCAAGGGTCCAAGACCTCTAAAATTTTCTAATCACACAATATCAACTATATATTTATACATATAACACGTGCACATGGTATAAACTGTCACACAAAAAATATAAAAAATTAGTATATTGTATGGCATGTTGCCATCATCGCCATATATCATAAAATGGGTGAAAGTGCAATCACGTATATTGATCAGTTCTATTAAAAAATAAAGCATTGACACATTATTTGTTTATAAATTGATTTTTTTGCATTGCTGATTTTCTTTTCTAGAAATTAATTATTTTAATGTATTTTCAATTAGTTCTTTTTGGTCAATGTATCTTCAATTTAGTTTAAAGAGTAAATTGTAGCAATGGTTCCTCAACTTTAATCAACTTGGAGCAATGATCCCTCAACTAAAAATCAATTCCCATTGATCCCTTAACTTATCAAAATGTGTAGCTATAGTCATTTTCATCAATTTCGTCAAAATTTTGTCAAGATAAGCTATGTTGGAATAATCATTTATATAATTAGGGTCCCTCAACTCATCAAAGTGTGTAATTATGATCATTTTCGTCAACTACATAAAAAATTGTGTCAAAACGAGTTATGTTGGAACGACTATTGCTACAATTGAGTTAAAGTTAAGGGACAATTTCTCCAATTGAATTAAAATTGAGGGACCAATGGTAATGGATTTTTAGTTGAGGGACCATAGCTGCAAGTTTCGATGAGTTGAGGGACCATTGGTAATGAATTTTTAGTTGAGAGACTATTACTCTAATTGAGTTAAAGTTAAGGAATTATAACTACAATTTACTCTAGTTTAAACAACAACAAAAAACGTAGGAAGTAACATATGGGCTGCGGATTCAATTTTGGTTGATCTTAAAGGGGCCTTGAACCAAGCCCGTTTTAAAATTAGACCTGGCTTGAAGATTTAAAACAACCACCTAGGCCCTAATGCAATCACCGTCTAGAAAGCATAAACAATAAGAAAGATGAAGAGATTGACTTTTCTTATTTTTTTATTTTTTCTTTCCTGAAGTTAGCCTCACAATGAGTTGACTATAATATGATTTTAATTCGTCTTTGGCGATAATTGAACTTAAAACCTCTTACTAATAAGTCAAAATATCACCAGACAGTTATTCAGTAATACTACATAGAGACTTTTCTCTGTTTGGACTTTGACATGCAAAAGTGGTTTTTTTTTTTTTGTTAATAATATTTATGATTATTCACAAAACTGGTTGCTTCTACCTTAAGGTAGGGCAGGCCGCATCCCTAGCGAAGTTTCAGACCCCACAGCCTTACGTTCCATTTCGAACACAAATTACACAACCAACAACAAAAGCAAACAAAATTAAAAGAGAAACAATTGTTTAACAAAACAAGGTTTTATCTCATTTGTCGTAGAATTAAAGAAATTTATTATTCTGGTGTACTGACGGGAGGATCAGAGGAGGGTGTTTGTTTGTGGATGATTTTGACGGCAAAGCACGGCTGCGGAAGAAGAGCCATGGACGGTATGGAAATGGCGGAGTCGACGTCGATGCGTCCTCTGACGGCAATCGTTGAGGCGTTTGAGGAGTTGGGCAGGTTGCTCCAATCCCATCCCCATAACTCCCAACAAAAACAACAGCAAACGCTGCGTTTGGATACCTTCTGCCAGGCTTCCACTCTCGTCTCCATCCTCTTCAGCTGCCTTGGCCTCGCTTTCAAGTTCGCCGAGATGGAGTACGTCTCCAAGGTTCCTTTCTTCCTTCCCACCCCAAACTCAAACCCTAATTATCATTTTCTTTATTTTTCTTCTACGATGCATGGACACGGTGGTATCCTACGTATCTCCATGTTATTTCGTATCTCTGTGTCGTGTCATATTCTCTTGTGATCATACAAGCATTCTTTTTGTTAATTGGACGTACCCCGTGGCCGTGTCCATACATTATTGTAGTTTTTCTTGTATTTATTTGAATTTTTTAGTTTTTTTGGGATTTTGATTGTTATATTTTTTATGAAACGCATTATTTTGTTTGTTGTTCATCGTATATTCAGGTTGAAGATCTTGTGGAGGCGTCAAAGACTTACGACACATTAGAAAGTCTTCTAGACTTTGATGTTGCTAATGACACGGTAAAATCCCCGGGAAGCCATTCCCGTAATCTGCGCCGTGTCCGGCAGGGTCTCGACCTCGTCAGAGCTCTGTTCGAACAATTCTTGTCAACCGAGTACGTTGAAACCTCTTTATGTGTAATTTCATATGTTTTGCAAACTGCATTTGTGTGTCGTTCTACAGATTTTTGGTTTTTGACATATCTTCTTTCTTTTGCCTTTCAGTGACTACTCTTTAAGGGAAGCAGCTTCGACAGCTTATGCCAATGTTTGTGCGCCATACCACAGTTGGACAATCAGGACAGCGGTTGCTGCCGGAATGTATGCTCTTCCGTCGAGGGATCAACTTCTGGTGAATCTCGAAGAGACCCGTAAGTCTAAAAGCTTTTCTCCGTCCAGAAACACTGATCTCCTTCAGTTTTGCATGCTATTTACTTCTAAAATGCAATCAATTTCATTACAGATCAGTCAGCAGAGAAGAAGATGAAAAGGTACATCCAAGCCTCGCGTCCGGTTATCGAGTACATCGACAGGCTATACCTTTCTAGGAACATCTCCTTGGACTGGTGACTTGAGTCTTCATCCATCACAGTAGATGTCTCCGTTAACAGCAAAGGTCTTACAGAAAGACCTGTGCAGCGCTAGTTCGTTACGATTACTTCACTACAATCGGTCTGTACATTAACGCTATTTACCATGCTACAAGAGAATTATATGTTTATAGGAGGATATTATTTAGACTGCAATACCAGAAATTTATTAGTTACATCAATTTACTGCTAGAGATGGTGAATATTATTACACAGCCATGGGTTTTTACTTCCTACCCAAGCAATACCCTACTATTTCCCTGTTTCAAAATTTTCTCAACAGTGATTGACAAAGCAATGCGAATTCTTAAAAGTTCAAAACAAAATGAATTACAACACAAGTAGAAAATGCTAAAAATTATGCGAGAGCATGTTCCTTAATTGGGAACCCCTTTGAAAGACACACCTGTGCTTTGTCACTGACGAAAAATAGAGGCTTTGGGTCAAAAACATTCAATCCTCAGGAGTCCTGAAACACCGACTACAATGTGAGGCTCTCTGGGTTCTCAACAATGTTGGCAAATGTCTTGAGGAAGGCAGCCAAATCAGCACCATAAACAATCCGGTGATCAGCTGTTACGTTCACCTGTAGAAAACAGCCACATTCCAACCTAATTAAGTTCCCTTTTCTACAAGTTTCTAACCACAAGAGGAGCAATAATTTCCCCATTTTCAGGTATGCTGCAATTGTGTTCCAGTAACAAATTGATATAAGCACAAAAAGAAAAATATTTCATTGCAGAGAAACCTAGATGTTAAATCCAATCAATAATGTAACATATTGATGTTTCTGGAAATAGACAAACTGCGGAAAGTTGATACACGTAAAGTTGTTTCTTTCCCTTCACACAGAGGCTCATACACATAAATTTGTTTCCTTCCTCCCCCGACAAGATGAATTGACATGCATAAAGAACTGATAACAAGTATAAAAAACAAAAGGTTCCTTGAGGAACATTTCATATAGTCTTTTGCATTGTGCATAAGTTCGTTTAACATATTCATTCCTTGTATAAGTGTGAACTTTAATTTATATTCTTGTAAAGTTGTTTTCCAGCATATACGAGAAACGACATTAACAAACTAGTACACGTTATGGAGAAAACACGAAGATACTCACCAGCATTTTACTTTTTACACTAAAGAATCCATCTACATCGGCCACAACAGTTGGCTTTGAAGCTCCAACAGCCATGATAGCCCCCTGATTATCAATTCAAAACTTCAGCAAGCAGCTAAAAAATCATAAAAACAGAACAATCCTGTTGTTGATTCATGAAAGCGAAAAATTCTAGTCTTTAAGGGTTAAAACTCACCTGGCCTGGTGGAAGAATAGCATCAAACTTGTCCACTCCAAACATGCCCAAATTGGACAAGGTGAAAGTTCCTACACAGAGTCCAGAACAACTTAATTGAGTATAAACCGAAAGCAAGTAGATAAGAGAACATGGATTGACAGAGAGTTAGTAAACAAAGACCTGTACTGTACTCATGGGGCTGAAGTTGCTTGGAACGGGCCTTCTCCACTAACTCCTTCCATTTCTGGGACAGCAAATACAAATCCAACTGTGCAAACAAATACAAATCACCGATCACTAATCAGAACCAAACAACTAAAAACAGAAGTACTAAATGTCGAAGATAAAGGTTCCTCTGCTAATTGCACCAAGGCCTTTCGATAAAACCCCACACGAACTAAACAAGTGGTTAAGTTGGGGACAGTATTGGTGTTGATTAGTAATGGTCCACTGACCGCTTCTGAAATCTAACACTGCATTACTTAGTAATTACATATTCTTCGAAAGTAAGACCTTATCGGCATCCTGAAGAACAGGGGTTATGAGTCCTCCATTGATTGCCACAGCAACAGCAATGTTTATACTGCTGTTATACGAAAAGCTCTTTCCATCTTTGCAGCTCGCATTCACAACTGGGTGCTGAGCAACTGCCATAGCAGCAGCCTTGGCCAACAATGCAGTCATTGTCACACCCTTTGGTTTCACCTGATACAAAATTTCAATGAATTCAAATCAAAATCCCAGAAATGCAAACACCAATCAAACCCAATTGACATTCCGAACCAACAATTTAATTAATCAAGCAGTATCCACAATGTACCTTTTCATAGAGGGCGTCGATGGCATCGCTGTTAATCGGGTACCCGACCCGGAAAGTCGGCACAGAGAGGCTTTCCACCATGTTCTTCGAGACGGCAGCCTGCATCGTGGTAAATGGCACCACCGTTGACCCGGGAAGCAGTGGCGGGGCTGCAGCAGAAGGCTTGGGTGGAGCAGCGGCCACCGAAGTGGGCTCGGCGGCGACGGCTTTCGTGGGCTTGACAATTCCGGCGGCTGCCTCCACGTCAGCAGGCGTAATGCGGCCAAATGGGCCGGTGCCCACCACGGAGGCAATGTCGACCTTGTGCTGCTTGGCTAGCTTTTTTGCGAAAGGAGTGGCCACGCCCTTTTTGGGAGTGTAAGTAGCAGTTGCAGATGGAGCAGGCTGGGCAATGGCAGGGGCGGAGTGGCAGTAGCAGGAGGAGGAGTGGGTGTAACAGCAGCTTCAACTGGGGAGGAAGAAGCGGGGGAACCAGACGAGGAGGATTTGGCTTTTTCCCTGGCTTCGGCTACTTCCTCTTCGGTCTCAGCAAGAAGCCCGATGGCGGCGCCGACGGGGGCGGTCTCGCCTTCCCCAACGACGATTGCGGCGAGAATGCCGTCGTAGAAGGTCTCGACGTCCATGTCGGCTTTGTCGGACTCGACGACAACGACGCTCTCGCCTTTGGAGAGGACGTCGCCCTCGGATTTGATCCAGGAGACGATCTTGCCCTCGGTCATGGTGGAGCTGAGTGCGGGCATGAAGATCTCCCTGATCTTGGATTGGACGGTGAGGGTGCGGCGGCGGGGATTAGAGCGGAACGCGGTGGAGGAGGAGGAGAAGGGGGAGGGGCGCCATGGGAGGGAGGTGGAGATGGAGGAGGAGAAGGAAATGGTGGTCTTGGAGAGGAAAGGAGACGACGCCATTGGAATGGACTGGAAGAAAGGCGAGAGAGAGTGAGTTGAATTGGGAGAGAAAGGGAATGGAGTGGGGAGAGATGAAAAGGTTGATAGAAAAAGAGGGGGGCGGAGAAGACGAGGGACAGTTGGTTGGAGGCTTCGAGCTACCCGCAGCAAACTGGAGGGCTTTAAATTGTTTACATCGCCCTTCGTCTGGCACTTGGCCACTCCCACTCTTCCTTCTCGTTTACGGTTTTACTTGTATTCATTTCTTATGAATTTCTTTTTGGAAAATGGCTGAAATATCAATTTATAAATTTCAATTGCTGAAATTTTCGGGGTTTGTTTGATATCTGGTTGATATTTGATTTATATGTCGTTTAAGATTGGCTGATCTTTACGTTTTTTATTATTGATATGTGGTCAACATTTGATATTTAATGTGTTTGATGAACACATTGTCAATAATCGATATAATGTATAAGATATATATGATCAACATTTGATCGATATGTTTGATATTTGGCTACTATGCCATTAGTATTTGTAAAATGATTATTTCAATCAAGAGTAAATTGTACAAATGGTCCCTCAACTTTAATCAAATTGGAGCAATGGTCCCTCAACTAAAAATCCATTACCTTTGGTCCCTCAACTTATCAAAACGTGCAGCTATGGTCCCTCAACTAAAAATCCATTACCATTGGTCCCTGAACTTTAATTCAAGTGGAGAAATGGTCATTTAACTTTAACCCATTTGTAGCAATGGTCCTTCCAATATAACTCGTTTTGACAAATTTTTTGACATAGTTAACAAAAAGAACCATAATTATACACTTTGATGAGTTAATGAACCCTAATTATATAAATGGTCATTCCAACATAGCTTATTTTGACAAAATTTTGACAAAATTGATAAAAATGACTATAGCTACACATTTTGATAAGTTGAGGGACCAATGGTAATGGATTTTTAGTTGAGGGACCATTGCTCCAATTTGATTAAAGTTGAGGGACCATTTGTACAATTTACTCTTCAATCAATTTCCACACTAAAAACCCTAGCTACATAATTATGTTCATATTTTATTTATACAATAATATTGGAGATGGTTTATGAGTTTAATCAATAGTGAACTATTACGTACAGATTTTGTCATTCGGGTGAATCGAACTTGATACCAAACGATGTTAAAATAACCATCCATGGACACAAATTATTGTTGATATATACGAGAAATGCTACGTAGGCTCTTTCATAAGTAAGACTCTCTATGGACTCTCAACCACCTCATGTTTTTAGCACAATTATCGTGCCAATATTATAAAAATTGCGTCAAAAAGATAAAGTGACGAAGAGTCCTACTTTGAGAGATTATCCTTATCATTTCTTTATATTTACACATTTTGACCACTAAAGAGTATGATCTGGTATAAACTTCTCTTCTTAATAGTTTTAATTATCACATTTTAACCCTTTTGTTTTTTAACAAATCAACATTAAACTACTAAAATTTATGAGTACTTGAACTCGAATGCAAGTGAAGGAGCACATCCCATTTTAACCAGTACTTCTCTGTTTAGTATAGATGCATTTTTGCTCACCAGTCTCTCAAGTGATTGTAATGCTCGCCACCATATTTATCATCATTAGATGAGTTTAATTTTAAGTTTTGTATTTACCCACTTCACAGTTCTCAAAATTTAAATTAATCTAACAGTAATAAATAAAATGATGAATATCACCTTTATTTGAGGATGGTGAGTAAAAATATTTCCATTTAGTACAGAGACGAGGTTCATTCCACGCTTTTACGAAGAATTATAAAAATGTGAAGAATATCAAGAGAAAACTGACTTTGGGCCGAATATTGCTGGTTTTTAATAACTTTGGGCCGAAGACAGGCAGGGATTGATGGGGACTTGAGTTGAACGCGGCTTTTATTTTACAAAGCCCACGACCTTGAGACTTGAAGCTTTAAGATCACCTAACTTTACGTGCTTTCAATCTCGGGCCCTGCGGGTTCATGTGAAGCCCAAAACATCTCATAGAAGTAGGCCCGTATTTGGGAGATCCTAACGAATACCGACATGAGATGACAGAATATTCTTATGAGGTACACTAATAGACAACCCTGTCCCAAATCATGATGACATAGAGCTGGTTAACCCCATCACTGTTATTAATAAACACAACGACATTTTATATTAAGGAAAGAAAGTGTTCAGTTAAGTCACATAATGAGCAGTATAATTTGGTATCGAATTCGACATTCACAAGATTTGAATTTAAAACCTTTTACTTCTCAACGAAGAGGAATACTATCAGACCGTAGCAATGAGTAACATTAATAAACATTATTTATCATTTCATTGTATAAAGTTTTCCATTGTAATTTCCCAAGAAAATATTATACTCAATCATGCATTAAAATAAAATAAAGAAGCACGGCCGAGTAGTAGACATGTTTACAAGTGGGGCCGTGTTATAGGTCAGCCTCGATCTTTTTAATTAAATAAGATTCTCTAAAGGCATTTTATATTAGCACTTCACAAAATGTTGAATGTACTCCACATTAAAATTTAATATTAATAACTTATTTACCCTAATATGCAATTACAATTTTGACCTTATTAGGTTTAAAAAAAATAAAAAATTTATAAATACACCCCAAATCACTTTTAACGTATTATTTATCTATTTCAACTATCAAAACCTCTCACAACCTCCATTGTTGAATAAAACCCTAAGCAATGAAACTACAAACATGTTGATTGAGAAAAATTATTTTTGACCGGAACGTGAAATCAGTGTTTCGAAAGCTTTACATGAGGTAAGACTTCATATTTTTCTTTGTTTTAGTGATTTCGACGACATCGATAATTATTTAATCTCACTCAATCTAATAATTAAAGAATTAGCACTTATGAATCTCATAATTCAAAAACCATGGCATGCGAACTGATTGCATATTGAGTCAATGACATTCAGAATGTGCTTTCTTGTAGGTCTGACTTGGTGCGACCAAAATATGCACAAGAAAATGGAAACAACATAGTAGCTTTGAAATTATTATTATTTTTATTGAAAAACGTTCAAATGAATCTAAACATTTTTTTTCAAATCATTCAATTTGAAATCATTCGGCAAACTAACGTTCAGATGATTTGAAATCATTCGGCAAAATTAAAAATGAGTGTTACAATATTTGAGAAATGTAGGGGTGTATGTAGAAAATGTAAATTGTATATTAAGAATGTGGGGTGTGAGGGTATTATGGTGAAAGAAATATGGTGTATTAAGATAATTTTTAATTGAAAAAGTAAATGTTGGGTGTATTAAGTATGTGGGATTTATTCAACAACTTGTGGGGTGCTAATATAATTAGCCTTCTCTAAAAATTGATGCATTTTATAAATTATTTGTCATCTTACAGCAAAGTCAATTTTCGTATAAATATTATAATAAAATATAAGGTGATATAAATTTTTTGAAGAGTTTCACTCTTATGAGACTATAATTCGGACGGATTAACCTTTTCGATTGGAGATCATTTGTTGACTTTTCTCTTGGCCCTGCATGTTGCACCGGAATTTGGCGCCAATTCATGGCCCTACCAAACAAATCATGGGAATAGAAGGTTTGCATCTGAAGGAGGCAACGGCTGAGATTCGCTCTTGCATAAATTGAAAGTAAAATATCCGCATGCTTCTCCCGCCTTTTGGATGCGGACCAAATTTGTAAGGGCCGGCTTAGCTGTATTTTGGAGCAATTTCCGATGGCCCTACCTCGCCCAATTGCTTTTATGCTCGTCCTTATCTGAATTTTTTAATATTTATTTGATTTCTTGATTTTATATTATTTTTCGCAACTGTATTGTGGCCTATAGATTGAACGCTTATAGATAAATGTAGACAGAGTGTATACTTTGAATTTGAATTTGATGTATTTTAATAATTATTCATATGACTCACGACAAGTGGTTCAGAAAAAAGTGCGAACAACTTTTTAAAAGAAAAAAATGAAATGTTTTGAGTTCGAAACTTCGTAAGTTATGAATCTGTTTAATTGTGATTATAAATATGATGCAATTTCTAACTAGCTTCTTTCAAGCCTGAAAGATGTAGATAATCGTCGTTCACCACTTATTGTCCTTCTTTTTCAATAAAAAGAAAAGAAAAATGTTTACTTAGATCAAAACTCAATTGATAAGTGAAATTAAAAAGATTAAGCCTAATAACTTGTAAGTGTGTCATTGCAAATAAAAAATAAATATCAAGTTCGATTTTTCACCTTAGACATTTCGACGTGTATACATAAATGTAGTAAGAGTGTACACTTTGAATTCGATATAGCTATAATAGAGTATGATTATTTTATTCAACTTAATAATCTCTGGTTTAATCATATCAAAACTCAATTAATTAACAAAATTTCAAAGATTAAATCTAATAATTTCATAAGTGTGTCATTACTTGCTAATTAATAAGAGTAAATTGTAGCAATGATTCTTTAACTTTAACTCAATTAAAGCAATGATTCATCAACTAAAAATTCATTACCATTAGTCAAAATGTGCAATTATGGTCCCTAAACTAAAAATCTATTACCATTAGTACCTCAACTTTAATCAAACTGGAAAAATGGTCCCTTAATTTTATTCCAATTGAAGCAATGATCCCTCAACCTTAATCTAATTGTAGCAATGGTCCTTCCAACATAACTTATTCGGACAAAATTCTGACGAAGTTGACGAACATAACCATGGCTACATGTTTTGATGAGTTGAGGGATCCCAATTGTAGTAATGGTCATTCCAACATAACTTATTTTGACAAAATTCTAACGAAGTTGACGAAAAAGATTATAACTACACATTTTGATGAGTTGAAAAATCATTACTCTAATTTAATTAAAGTTGAGAAACCATTATTATAATTTACTCAATCAATAAATACAAATACATATCACGATCGATTTTCATCCCGTCGACAGCTGGCACCCAAACTGAGCGAGTCTTCCTTTTACACACCGCGTATTGCGGGCGCCACTCTCTCTCCCTCTCTTCAACTTGTTCCTTGTCCTGTTGTCAAATGTCCAATTCCAACATGTGATCGATACCACCACAAAGCAGTTTTCAAACTTTTCCAGGGGCATTTACGGAATTTCGTAATCCCATAGGTACGCTCGCAGCATCCTGCAACTTTCCTGCGGGTCATGCTCGTGGACGAAATCTCAGCCGTCCATCTCAATACAATGTACCGCAATCTCGAAACCCTAGCTTCCCTCCCCTCCCCTCTTGAGTAATAAATTTCACATTTGTTCTTCAAACCCTTCTTCCATTCTACTTACAGAGAGAGAAACAGAGAGAGAAACAGAGTGCCTCTGGTTCGTGGGTTTGGAATTGGATATCTTGCTCGTCCTCCTCGATTAGGGTTTTGTGGGCAATCAATTCAGAGCCAGAGCTCCGTCCTTTTCAATCAATTAGGGGTTTAAATTGTCGAGCTTTGAGCGGATGGGGATATTGGTGGCGGAGGCGGCAGCGGCAGAGGCACCGTTTCGTTTCCTGAGATGGAATGAGGTGTTTGTGTCGAGCGACAAGGGGCGGAGGGAGGTCCATTACTATCTGAAACGGAGCGACGGCAGCTCAGATCTGGCGGTGGTGGGCAAAGAGAAGAGCTTGCGGCACATGTCCTATCACTATGCGCACCGAATCCGTTCGTTGTTCTCCATGTCTTCGCTCGTTAAGCTCAAGTCTCGCAGAGAGGTCATTGATTGGCTCGATTCCGTCGTTGCAGGTAAATTTCGTACCTTTCGTTCAATTTCTCAATGAATTTCGTCACCTCTCTCTTTCTTTTTTGTTCTCGTTTGTTTTCGGGGATTTGGAGGTTTTCAGTTTTCCTTGTTGGGAAAATTGAAATCTTTTTGGTATTTCTATTCAATGGGTTCGTGTGCCTTTGTTGAAGATCTGGTTGGTTTTGGATGGTTTTGTTGGAGATGGGCATAGATTTTCTGGGTTTCCTGTACTTTTGTTGTCGATTTATTCATCAAGTAGGTTTCTTTCCCAATTTAAAAAACCGTTCTCTTGCGGGCTGTGTGTTTCTTGTGAAGTGTTTATTTTTGCTCAGAATTTTGCTCGGTGTATTGGATCTTCCTCACCGGTTTTGCAACGGGTATATCGAAGTTTTGTTGAAACCAAAGTTTCTCTGGTTGATAGGGCGGACTGTTCTAAGGTTCACCTACCGGCTATACAAAGCTTTCACTACTTATGAGACGAGGATTTTGGAATAATCTCGGCTTCACCGACAGGCCTATACAAATCTTTTCCTTTTGATAAAGTTTCAACCTTTGTATTGAGACAAAGGTTTTGCATTTGTCTCATAATTGCTAGAGCTCTTGTTCTTCAAATTGAATTGTAGTTCCTTTCTCTAACTCGGTATAATTCTTGTTGATCCATTCGGCATGAAGAAAAACCTTCTCGTACTTTAGTCTTGTCATTCTTTTTCCTTCTGGGATCCTCCTTTCCTCTCTGCTGTGTTTAAAACTTGGAACACCTTAGAGACTTTTGTCTTGTTCTTTGCAACCCTTGTTTATCAAGCTGCATAGGGATTTTTGTTATTCACTAATGAAGGATCTTATAGTTTTATGCGCGTGTTCTTAATTTGAACATTGGTGTCTTACTCTGTTCTTTCAACCTTGACCATGTTCTGTTCTTCATGGTATTGTTGGTCTTCTTGTTTTTATGAACTGACTATGATTTGGGCTGCAGGATTTTTAATTAAATTGTAAAGAGCTGGTTGAGAGCATCAGATCCTTATGCCCTCAAAAACTCTAGGTCAAGACCTTTCATGGCCAAATCTACAATATTTTTTGTTCCCTAATGATCTTTTGCTATCTTTGATGGTTTATATCTTCATATTTTGTTGTCTCTGTTTAATCCACCTGTCTGCTATGGATACTTGTCCATGCCCATTTTATCTGCTTGTTTCAGTTACACAATTATTTCTGTTAGTAGTCGTTTGCTTTTTTTCTGTTTGGTTTTCCTGTCTGTCTGGATTATCTTATAATTTTTACTGTTGTTCCATGGTAAATGTCATATGTTAATTTGTTTGTTTTGTGATTCTGTCAGATACATCATTTCTCAAATCACCCGATTTGGGTGAAAGCGTGTCAGATGGTAAAGATGCTTGCAAGTTGGGGATTGAAATCTTTAAGGTAAGAAGGATTAGACTTGTGACTCTTTATATACTTCCCCCTGCCTGTTTTATGCTTCATACATTTTCATTTCAGTCATCGCTTATATTCATTCTCTATCTTTCTCTTAGGATACTGTATTGCGGAAGTTAGGCAAGCATACCACTGAATTTATGTGGTTAGGCTCTCCTTGGACATGCAGGAAAAAACGAAGGCATTATCAATCATTTAGCCGGAATGGCGTTGTAGTTTCAGTAAGTTCTATTGTTTTTTTTTTTTTCATTTACTTCTTGTTTCACGGACATCTTACCGTCAGTAATGTGTTTCGTGTTCGAAAATATTTTCGTTTAACTCATTGTTCTGTTCCCCTCTTTCCAAATGCTTTCAGGTTCATGATTTTGTATTTGTTTTAGCAGAGGAAGATAAACGTCTTGTTGCATACTTAGAAGATATGTACGAGGATTCTAGGGGCAACAAGATGGTTGTGGTGCGGTGGTTTCACAAAGTTGATGAGGTTGGTATAGTTTTGCCTCACAATTTTAATGACAGGGAGATTTTCTTTTCTCTTTGTCTTCAAGATCTCAGTATTGAATGCATAGATGGATTAGCTACTGTACTCAGCCCCCAGCATTTTGAGAAATTCAAGAGAGAGGCAACACAAACTCTTTTGAAACCCTTCGTATGCCAGAAGCAATTTGAAAATGACGATGTCCAGCCCTTTGACATTACTCAAGTTCAAGGTTATTGGAAACAGGAGATACTTAGATACATGCACACACTTGCTCCTTCGAAGGCTCATGGAAGTTCTCAACAGCCAGATGAAGGGTTGGAAGCGGAAGAAAATGATGGTGCCAATGGTATCAGACCTAAAAAGAGGCATCATTCTTCACAAAATGATGACATCCGCTTGGAATTCCGTGACTGGAAAGAGTTTCCAGATGCTGTACGTGATGTGGAGAATCTAAGTCAACATGAGACTGATTGCAGAAGTAAAAGCAAATCCTTCTGCCTTGGAAGAGGAGGTTCTTCTGTTTTACCTCATAAAGAGGTGAATAAAAACCCGCAACAGCATTTAGTAGTTGGTTCCCAGGTTGAAGTCCTCTCACAGGACAGTGGCATTAGAGGGTGTTGGTTCAAAGCTTTGATTATCAAAAGGTACAGAGATAAAGTGAAGGTGCAATATCAAGATATTCAGGATGCAGCTGATGCTAAAAAACTTGAGGTATGCTTTTGCTGTCATCTATATCATTTTTTTTTTTGTTCATTATTTTTTTTGCACACCTGTTTTTAACCTGTAGATTACTTGAACTTTGTGGTTTCCATGTTGTAGGAATGGATTTTGGCTTCTAGGCTTGCAGCTTCTGATCAATTGGGTCTTCGTACTTTTGGTAGGCCAATTGTTCGGCCATCTCCACCGTCTACCAAAGGCAGAGTTTCATGGGCTGTTGATGTTGGGACTGTTGTGGATGTCTGGTGGAACGATGGATGGTGGGAAGGGATTGTAGTTCAGAAGGAACCTGATGACAGACTGCATGTGTATTTCCCAGGTTTGTCCATTTTTCTCGTTTTTTAAATCTAATAGCAACAACAAAGTTTAAGAGAATCCAACTGATAATAGTTTTCCTTTTCTCGTTTGTGTTGCTGTTTATTTGCTTCAATATCTGAATTTACTTGCTCTGTGTGCAGGAGAAAAGCGGGTGTTGATTGTTGGTCATGGTGAATTAAGACATTCTCAAGAGTGGTTGGGAATAGGATGGGCTCAGATTAAGGACAGGCCAGAACTTGTGAGCTCAATATCATGTGATTTAGAAACAAAGCAAGTTGTCGGAAAGAGTTCAGATTGCGTGCCAGTGCAATCTGCAGTGTGTGACAGCGAACCCTTGAAGAAAGAAGAAACCGGATGTGATAATTCTGTTCCGCTCGCTGAAAGTGATAAAGATGGAAAGGTTAAAGAACTGGGCAAGGTTCCAGATCTTTTGAAGGATGATCTACTTGCCCAGCTGAAGTGGAAGTCCTCGAGGAAGAGAAGACGTGGTAACGGCAGCTCTGTCCAGAAGCTCCACTGCATTGTTTCTGATGGCAAAAACGCCCGTCGCCTTGTGGGGTCCGGTGCTTGCGAAAGTTTTATGATTTCATCATCTCTGAAAGTAGACCGAGAGAACTGCAAATATTTAGGCGATTCACTTTTCAGTTCTTCTGTTGCGCCTCCGCTAACAAGTTTAGTGATGTAGGTTTTTTCTTTCGTCATCCACAAAGTATATATTATATCGCGGTGCATCTTTTTGATGCCGCTTTTTTTTAGGCCCCTTCCTAGCTCGGTCGGTAGAATGTCATCTCTTGAGAAATGTTTCGTTTGAGAAGCCATGGCATCCCAGTCTCTCTCCGTGTACGTATATATACTATCTGTTCAAATGCAGCAAATAGCCTGACGGGGTAGAGATTTTGGGCGCAGGGTAGAGATGTAGAGATGTAGAAATTTTGGGCGCAGGGTAGAGATGTAGAAATAACCTTCTTCTTTTTTGGAGCTTTTTGCGTGCTCGCATTTTGTATAACGTATTTTTGGTTTAATAAATTTTTAACCCATCACTTGCATAAATGTTTGAGGTGGTTCCCCTTGGAACCCATTTTGGGAAGGGGATCCTTTCCGGATCCCGTCCATCAAATCCTACCCATCAACTAATTCAAGGATAACTTTTAAAGTGGGCTTTTGTTTTTAGCCGTTGAATCAAATTTCAAGTTCTTGGATTAGTTGATGAGGATGATTTGGTGGAAGGGATTCAGAGTGGTCCCTTTCCCCCATTTTGTAGTTTATACTTTCTTTGTTTTTTAATGAGGGAGACTTCTCTGCACCCTCTTGGACGCCATCGCTGTGTTCGGAAGGAATAATATTACACATGACATTGTGTCGGAGGAGAAAATTAGTAACACGAAAGGTTGGTGTGCGCCCATTTTTATCCCCACAACCACAATTGCCACACTGTTGATGCCACAGCCGTCCTTTTCACCATTGTTATTTTTTGCACCCAACCACCTCAACCACTATTGGCACTATCACCATATCCCCACCATTACTGCTACAAAAAGCACCACCGTTGCCGCCGCCACCACCACTCTCTTGTGCTACCACCGTCGCCATCAACACCTCATTACTATGTTTTTGTAATTATACAACTTTTATAAATTTAACAGACACTTCTTTCATACCCACAATACTTAAAAAAAAAATTACCATTTATCAAACGCTCAACTGCTCTATTGAGACGCCCCGATCCTAAAATCAAAGCGTGCTGGCCGTCACGAGTAAATTTTAGTATGAAACACACATATTCGGAGCATGCTAGATGAATATTATTGCTAGTATTTGGTTTTTATTTCTTCGTATTGCTCTTATCTATTGCTTCCGCGTCGCACTTTTGGTTACGTCACGCCCACATGACGACCAGCACGCCTTGATTTTAGGATCGGGGCGTGTCATCTATTTTATAACTGATTATTTTTAAAATACAGTAAAAACATTTTTTTTTTAAAAGCATAACAATTTCAAGTCATGCGTTGTGAATTAAAAAAAAAAAAAGGAATATGTTGTCTTTCCTTTTGTCAGTACCGTTAGCCGTTTGCCATTGTGATTGACCAAATTCCCTCTCTTACTTTTGACTCTGTTGGTTGAGTTGCTTTATTTGACTTGGTCGCTCTTAAACACAACAGCTATATACAATTATACACAAACAGCTATATACAATCATACAGATGTATGGATCCTAGGTTCCATGTACCGTTGCAGATCCCTATCCAATCAACCTTTTTTTCCTTTCTTTCCAGAAGTTTTGAAGATTGATTGTATGGAATGGAAGTGATGGGATCCTATGAAATAACAGAGCGGTAGGATTAGGCAGAGCCCACGAAAACGACGACCAACCTGCATAGTTTAATACATAAACGGCTCTAAAATACAGCTGTATCGCAATCAGTGTTTCCCTACGACATCAATGTCATATGTAGGAATGATGTCGTATAAGTGTGGAGAAGGAAAAACTAGTGCTCTTGTGGGGCAAAAGTAAAGTAAATAAAAAGACACCTTTGTGTTGCTGCTGTTGCTGCTTTAACAAGTTTTAATTTATCTGCGTTTCCCCTTCTTTCTAATTCTACCAACTCGTATGAAGAACTCCATTGCCTCAGAAAAGTAGTCAGTCAGTATTACTATTCAGTCGTGCAGGGGGGGAGCCGCTGCTCGATCGTTGTCTACTTTTTCACCTTCTCGTTTCGACAACGAATGTCTAATTGCTGTGTTTGAGTAGTGAGATCATGGCCTGCGGTGGTGCTGACCTTCATCGTGGCTTAACCAGGAGCTCCCTGCAGGATTCGGAATACTCGTCATGAAGTCTCGATCGCTTTCTCCCGGAACCAGTCTTGCCTCTGCTGAATCCTTGTCCATGCCTCTGGTTTGTTCCCTCTCTGCCTCTCTATCTCATTGATTTATTCACTTACATTTTGGTCTTGTTTTGATTACTTATTTGCGTATTTATGGTTGAAAACAGTTGCAGGAAGTCGTTCTCTCAGCTGACATAAGTTGTAGCGATTGCCAAAAGAGACTTTCCGAGATGATGTCAAAAATGGGTGGTAAGTTTCCTCATCCTCTTTCGTTAAGATGATTTGGAACCGTCACGGCAAATTGGAATATGAATTTTTTTAATTTACTTTTACTTTGTTGGTAATAAAATAAAGCACCTTTAGGATTTTTACCTGCACTGTTTACGCAACAAAATGGACGTCTTGCACGTGGAATATTTGTTGCATAAACAGTGCAAAACTTGATATAACTTTACCAATTTTCGTAAGATCGCAAAAAATACGACTACAAGAAGTATATACGGAGTTGAATGTTTATGCCACAGAAACACATGGACATACACCAACCCCCACTTGATGTGAAACATGTATCGTACAATGTCTAAGTGCTTTTTTTGGTGGTTGAAAGCTATGAACTTTAGCTGCGGCAGCGAGTAGGTAGCTTTAATTCAGAGCTACCGAATGTCCTTTTGGCCAGTTGTTTATGCTATTAGCATAATCCATACCAGTTGTATATGATTGTCAGCTAGTCATGTTTTGGGGCGTCCTAATTGGACCACCTCTGCAAACTGCATGTGCTTCCATGGACGTTTCTGATTATTTCATCTACTTTTGCAACTTGGGGTCTTTGATTAATTCCCATAATCCAAATTACAATCTCTTAAACCATAACACTAATTTCTTTCATTAGCAGAGATAGAATCTGTTGTGGTGAATGCGTCGGAGAAGAGGGTGACGCTCGTATGCAGATATCCCGGTGCAGCCAAAGTTCCATCCACTCGGCTAGTCGCTGCAGTGAACAAAAACCCTCTGAAAAAAATTTCATTGATTCGAAGGATGCTATTCCAAACCAAATAAGTCCAACACAAGTATTCCTCATTCCTTGAACAATTGAATTCGACGTGTATTTTAGTTTTTTCTCGCTGATTAATCGGTGATATGTACATAATTAAGTCCGTTGTTCAATTCCACGGTGTTTTGGGACTCGATTTTCTGTAACATAAACCTTTGAGTTGAAGAAAAGTGATGCTTGACCTTGCCATAATGTCAGGAAACAGGCAAAAGCTTTAGGGAGAATTGTAAGGAACAAAAATGCTTCTTTCTTAACTTGGAACATAATCAGATCCCAAAAGTAGAGAATATCAGTTGGCTCACAAGCCACATTTTTCAAAGATTCCACAAGCACTTTTTTTCCATCAACTTTTTTCTCCCCAAAATAATCAAAACAACAAAATGTTATCTCCGGTTCTGACAATTCCAACTTCATGGCAAGAAAGGCAAGTTCTTGTCTTTCACTTTCTCAACAGTTTAAAATTTCAATTTTCTGAAAAAAATCTGAGATTCTGACGAGGCTATACGCCTTTGTTTTGTGCATGAATTGCAGTATTGTTGCATGGTGATGAGGCTCAATATTGACTGCGATGCATGCTGCAGAAAAGTAAGAAGGATCCTCCTAAATATGAAAGGTAAGATATCCGTAGAAGTGGGCATGAACGTCCTTAAATTAGAGTAGTTTCAAACATCGTCTTGTAAAAAACAAGGATACGTTTAAACGTTCTAATTTGTTCGAAACCTAATAATCTGATTTTTTGATTTGGTGTTGAAGTAATAGAGACACATTTGGTTGAGAAGCAGCAGTGCAAGGTGAGCGTGTGTGGGAGGTTTGTACCAGCAGATGTTGCCATAAAGTTGGGGAAAAAGATGAACCGAAGAGTTGAAGTTATGGAAATCCAAGAGTCAGATGGCAGCAACGAACAAATGGAGCAAAGGGCTATGATTACTACCAGTAGACCACACCAATTATATTGCTACTAGTAATTGGCAACAATTCAAATGTCCTTTTTTTTCATTACTTGTTTAGAATGTCAATGCTCCAATAAAACCTCTTGTGAGGGAAATTGTTCATTGTGCTGAAAACACTGTTCGGTACACAAAGTATTATAATATAATTGGTACTGGAAAAAAACTTATTATAACACTTGATGTACTGCATAGTATCTGGGCACACTGAAAAATTTATGCAAATGCAAAAGGGTAATACGAGGGAGACTAAATTTGCAAACTAAATAATGTGTCACTAATAGAAATGAACACATTTATCACAGCTTAAGCAATAAACCAATCATCAACTTCTATGTCTTTTAGTTTTCCAATTTTGTCTGTAAATTTAATTTTCCTAGTATTACCCAATGCAAAACGAAACACTTTTTTTTGGGTAAATATAGGCCCAAAAATCTAAAGTATCGGCCCAATAAATAGATCAAAAAGTAATAGAAGACCATCAAACGCAAATCTCAAATATCGGCCCAATACATGCCACATTCAAAATCTCAAATCTCAAAATATTTGTAATTTCGTTAAAAAAATCTCATAAATAAAACCAAATCTCTCGCTCGCTCACATAATTCCGACTCTCACAAAACCCCCAAAATCCGAAAACGATAGAAAACTCAACCCCTAACCCTAGATTTCCCGATGACCAGCGACGCCCAGGACTCGCATCGCAAGCACCGCGGTGCCTCTTCCGATGACGAAGAGGCCGTCGAGAAGTCGTCCAAGCGCCACAAGCACCGCCACCACCGCCGCCACCATCGTCACCGTCACGGCAGCAAAAAGCGCGAAGAGGAGACCAAGGCCGTCGTCGACGATGTCGAAGCTCCTCCACCGCCGCCTGTTGAGTTATATGATTCCGGTGTCAATGGTTCTATGCCGGTTGAAGACGTGGAGGAAGGCGAAATTCTCGACGAGGAGGGTGTCGGTGGTCGCGATGATGGGGTTTCCAATGCGGAGTCTGGTGAAATTGAGACTCCTGGAGTTGGCGATCATTCTAATAAGCGGAATCTGGTGTGTTCTGATTTCTCATTGATTGTGCCTTTGGTTGCTGAAAGTGTTTTTTTTTTTTTGGAAAATTGGATAATTTCCCTGCTGCTTGCTCGTTTTCATGAAATTTATAATTGATCAGGTTTCAAATTTAAATGGGTTTCTTTTCTTTTCAGTTCCAAAATTCTGTTAGTTGAAAATCTCAGAAATTTTGATATTTTAACTGTTGTTTCAGTGACCAAAAGATTTTTACATTTCTTTTTCAACTGTGTGATGAAATTTGTTTGGTGAGAGCTTGTTCAAGTGGCTGAGTCATAGCCATTGTTTCATACATATATAAGAACCCGCTCTTGCACTAGCCGAACATGAATCAATTGCAAATGAAGTTTCCTAGGCGTTTCAATCAATGAAGGCTGATGGCTTACTTTAATTTGTAAGAGTTGGTTACATTTCATATTAAGTTATTAACGAACTTTTTTTTTTCCTCAGATAAGTGTTAATTACTGCAATTCATGCACTTACTTTTTTTTCTTGGTGTTTTTTGGCAGAGAGACAATAACATCAATAAAAATACAAAGACTGTGGGACACCTGCATGATGATGATGATGATGATGATGATGCCCGCGGTCGTGTTGGTGGCAAGTCTCGGAATGAGGCTGGTTTGCCTAGAGATTCTAGGCGACACAGGGAGTCTGGGTCTCCTTCTAGAGGAAGTGATAAGAGAAAGAATTACTTTGATGATGAAAAAGTGTATGAAGATGGAAGTAAATCAGCTAATGGGAAAAAGTTATCCTCTGGAAGTAGTGGGGACAAGTACAATACCTTGGTGCGTTCACCATCTTGTGATAGGCGCGGTGACGAGCTACATGGTAGGGGCAGATCAAGGTCGTATGACCGTTTGAGGGAGAGATCTCGTTCCCGCAGTATAATAGAAGAAGAGTCTCTTTCGAAGAGGAGACATTATCATGAACGGGACACCTCTGTGTATGTTGAGAAAAGCAAGGCTGTGCACGGCTCTGATGATGAAGGATTGACTCCTGGTATTGACAGTGTTGATCTGAGGAGGGATGATGAAAGGGAACACAATATTAGTTATAGCAGATACTCTGGATTAGGCCATAGTCGAGAAAGAGAGAGAAGTAGGGAGAGGGAGGTGGGTCAGGAGCAGAGAAGGGAGAAAGATCAAGAAAGAATCAGGGACAATGAACGGAGAAGGGAGAAAGAAAGAGAAAGGAGTAGTGACAGGGATTTGGTTAGGGATAGGAAAAGGGGAATAGGACGAGAGCATAGCAGGGAAAGAGTGATTTATATGGAAAGGAGAAGGGAAGAGCGACATAGGAGCAGGGACATTGAGAATAGGGACAGGAATAGGGATGATAGTAATAGGAGCAGGGACAGGGTCAAGGATGATAGGGACAGAAACATGGAGAGGGGCCGAGATAGGGCCAAAGATACAGACCGAAAATGGGAGAGGCGAGATGATAGAGACAGGGATAGGGGTCGAGATATGGAGAGGGAGAAATATGAGCATCATGAGGATATCTATGGAAACCGAGATAGGCATAAATCTGCTCGATCAAGGCACAATGGAAAAGGATACGACCAGGACCGAAGAAGTAAAACTGATCCAGCAAAGGTACAGAGTCCAAAGAATTATTCTGTCGAAGGGGATGAAGACATGTTAGAAAGGTAGTTGCTTGTTTTAAACACCAACCCCCGCCCCACCTCCCTTCTTCTCCCTCCCCTTCCCATTTGTTTACCTTTAGATGCATATATTCCCTTTTTTTTGTAGAGATGAAGATGAAGAAGAAAGCATTCAAGTTGCTGGCCAGGAAGAGGATGATGTGGATAGAATCAAGGAAGAGTCTCGAAGAATAAAACAAGCCATCTTAGAAAAATATAAAAGTCAGCAGTCACAGCAAACAAAAGAGTTGCGTCTACAAGAACAAACTGAGTCACAGTTGCAAAAGCAATTTGAGCCTCAGCCTCTGGAGCAATCAGTGGATAAAGGTTCTGCAGATCATCTGGAGCAATCAGCAGCTTCTGTCAAACCTGGTCTAGAAACTGATGATGGAAGGAGTGATGGGGATGTGTCTGTTGCTGCATTTTCTGTTTCACCTCAGCAGAATGGTGCTGATACTTCTAGAATGCCTTCTGGTGCCACGGGGCTTGGAGAGGGTACTCCAGAGGTCAGTCCACTCTTTCTGAAATTCATATTATCCATACTTTTTATGATAATATTTTTTTAATTATTAAACGTAGATTCATTTGTTGTTGAAACCCTTAGTTTTGACATTTTACGAACAAACCTGCCGTGCAGGGTTTAGAATTTAACTGATTTATGTAAATTTTATTTTTATTTTCAACTTATGCAGAGTGAAGGAGCTGTTGCCGTTGATGATATCTTTGGTGAGACCCCAGTTGGAGTTCAAAAATTGGTGAGTTTCAATGTCATGCATATGTTATTTTCCCATGCAGTGCAACTTTGTGCATGCAATTATGGCGTGGATTAGAAATTGATAAAAGGTTCAGTAAATTTAAGTCTAATCTTATATCCTGCATAACATGCATTTAGTTGAGCTGGTATTAGTTTGGTTTAATGTGCACATGTTTTTGTTATGCATGGACAACAATGAGAAAGCATTGGCCTTTGTTCATGTTCCTTGTTACTCTGCGCTTTAGTTTACATGTTATCTATTTGTGATTGATTTTGTATTCATGACTGCAGTTTCTTTAATTTCATAGTTTTACACAGGCAATATCTGAATGACTTTTTTTTCATTCTGTCTCATTCGAAAGATTATCTGGACTCTGGACTCTAGAATGATTATCAGTCATATAGCATACGGCTAGACATTAATCTTATGCACTATTTTGTGTGCAGGGAAAAGGAGATCGTGTACAAATTGAAAGGAGTGGTATTCATGATAACTGGGATGATGCAGAAGGGTACTACAGTAAGTATATGACCAGTTCTTATATGTCTTTCAAAATTTTTGTTATTTCTTGCTAGGAATTTTCTCCACCTGTGATAGGCTTTTAATGGTCCCTTTCAATTAATAGTTGCATTACCATGCCTCCTTCCTTTCTTCATGCAGTGCTTTAATAAAATCTCGCATCTCCATATAGCCACTCATGTTCTCTCTTATTGCCCGAATTAGTTTCTGCCCTATTCCTCCTTGTTTATAGTTCTTGGTTGCATTTTGAAGTTATACAAAATACAATGCTGCGTTACTTGATTACCTAGGTTGATATTTCATCCAAGATATGTTTTATTTTCTTCCTACTGTCGTTTTACTTTTCTAATTTATTATGATGATCCTTTGAAGGTTACCGGTTTGGAGAATTACTTGATGCTCGATATGAAATCACTGCTGCTCATGGGAAGGGTGTCTTTTCGACAGTCGTCCGTGCAAAGAACCTTACAGTTGGTAATGGTGAACCTGAAGAAGTGGCAATTAAGATGATACGGAGCAATGACACTATGTAAGTGATTATGATACCACTTGCATTGCTATTGGCTTTAGTTTGCTATTACTCTTTTACCCATTTTATTGCTTCTTTTGTGTGAATAGGTTAAAGGCCGGTATGACTGAGTTGACCATATTGAAGAAATTAGCAGGTCACGATCCAGATAATAAGCGCCACTGTGTTCGTTTTCTGTCGAATTTCAAGTATCGAAATCATCTTTGTTTAGTGTTTGAATCCCTTCATATGAATCTTCGTGAGGTCTTAAAGAAGTTTGGGCGCAATATTGGTCTTAAGCTAACTGGCGTCAGAGAATATGCTAAGCAACTTTTTATTGCACTGAAGCATTTAAAGAACTGCGGTGTCCTTCATTGTGATATAAAGCCAGATAACATGCTGGTATGTGTTTGCTACTCTTTTTGATGATTGGATTGTATCTCAAACCATTTATGTTTCTCATAATAAATTTATGCTTCAGGTAAATGAGTCAAAAAATGTATTGAAGCTGTGTGATTTTGGTAATGCCATGTTCGCTGGAAAGAATGAAGTTACACCATACCTCGTCAGCCGCTTTTATCGTGCTCCTGAAATAAGTAAGTTTTCTTTTCTTTTTTATTAAGCTAATGTTAGTTTTTTCAAGTCATGGGAGGCATTAATTAGTATTTTAAATATATGTCTTGGTTGCAGTTCTTGGCTTGCCTTATGATCATCCACTGGATATCTGGTCAGTTGGTTGCTGTTTGTACGAACTTTATACAGGAAAAGTTCTTTTTCCCGGTGCTACAAACAATGATATGCTACGTCTACACATGGAACTGAAAGGCCCTTTCCCAAAGAAGATGCTTCGTAAGGCAAGTATTGGGTTTGACATTCGCCAAAATTTTCTGTTTATATATGAATATTTTCTAATATCTCATAACTGTTTTGCCCGTTCTATATCAATAAGGTATTCATTTTGCTAATATTTTTCTTGTCTTGGTTTTTGTACTTATAGGGAGCTTTTACACATCAACATTTTGATCAGGATCTGAACTTCCATGCTACAGAAGATGATCCTGTTACAAAGAAGGTAAGCATCTGTGGTCTGGCTTATTTCTGTCTATTTCTTGTCAATTATCAGAGTTTTGTGGTTTCCTGTCAAGCTTATGAGGATTAAATTCTGCTTGTGCAGGCAATCAATCGGGTGATTTTTAATATAAAGCTAAAAGATATTGGATCACTTATTACGGGTTCTGGTGAGAATGCAAAGATGCTAGCTGACTTTAAAGATCTTTTAGATAAAATGTTTGTATTGGATCCAGATAAGAGGTTGACAGTATCACAAGCTTTGAACCATCCATTCATCACTGGCAAGTGAACCCTGTTGCTGATTTTCTGACTACAGAATTCGCGCTAGATATTTGTACATTTTGATCTAATTCATACAGTTTCTAATAATTGGGCATTATCTCTCTTCTCTGTGATGGCCTGAGAGCTTTTGGCACAGTTTTGGCATGGTTGAAGTCAGAGGGGGTGATGTTTTGGTCAGGAGTACTCATCACTGGCGGGGGTTCTTTCACTTGTACTGTTTCTATCGTAAGACAACTAGCCAAAGGCGTCTTTTCCCCCTGTAATCATTTATGGTTGGCAAATGTGAAAATTAATTACTTCTGTTATAATTTTCCATCATGATTATATGTGTATTCTGAACTTGGTTTCTTCAATTCAATCTGTGGTACAACAGAAGATATATTTATCTTCAAGAGTTGTTTACAAAGCATATACTGCTCTCTTACTATATACTTCTATGTATTTATTTTCTTGGTTGCTTGTATTGAAGTTCATTCTTTAGTTTATGATTGGTAGGTTTGTTAAACATCCATTTTCATGTCCTTTATGTCAGCTGTAACTTTATACCCGCTGTACCTTAATTATTTGGTTCTGGGGATTCTAATTTAACTTTTCATTCAGGATATGTGATACTGCTATGAGGCAACCCTCCAGTGCTTAGATGATTAAAAGGAACCCAGGAGAAGGTACCTTGGTTTTGCTTATTTGGAGAATATTGTGAGGGACTTGGAAATAGATGACTTTATGTTTCATGCTTTGTTTTTCTGTTCCTAGATGAAGCTACTGGGTTGACTTGGAAATCTATTTAATTTGAGTCTTAGTGTCGCTGCTCTAGATTAATTTGACGACTTCTTGTAGCTTCTTTCTCTTCTTTTCTTTCTGGTGTCTGCTATTTGGTCTGCGTTTGAAATTGTGAGGAGGGTTACTTTATTACTACTGTATTTGTTATCTGAATGTATTAATGCATGTACATGCACTCTGAAATGTGCATTGGTTCTTCTAAAACAGGGTTCAGTTGACGCGTTGTACCATGTCATGTTTGTTTTATTTGACGTCATACTAAATGCATGAAATTGTATTCAGACATCTGTTTTCCTTTCAGTCTTTGTATGTGCTTGAGAGCATTATATTTATTACTTATTTTTGTTTGTTCTACCTTTTAAATATCTGCATATCCTAATGAGATTGCATTGCATCTGATTCATGGTCATTCTGGAGGCACTTGCACAGGAGGCATGAGGCTGCTGTTTGATCTAGAACAAATTCAGAGTAAGTAATTTAGGTTATGAATTTGCTTCTTGTGTGCAATGTATTTCCTTACGATCTATAGTATTGACATTGTTGTTTATGTTTTTAGGGTATGCCCCCCATGCTTCTGCTCCTGCGCCATCTGTACGTATATTCAAATCATAGTTTTTATTTATTTTGGTGTGCAGTTTTTGTGAAGCAAAATTTTACTTGTATTCCTATGGAAAATACTTTAGAAATATGGCTATAACGTGGATACTGGCTAACAGTTTTGTTAAGACTTTAGGAACCTAAAGAAAACACAATTTAATTCCTATTGAAAAATTAAAACATTAACTAGCATAATTGGTCTCCCTTGAAACTGATGTACTTATGGATGTTGCTTAACCTTATTTGATTTCACGACATTGAACTGCACTTTCGAACACCTGGAAGGAATACAATGCCATGAAATCAAATAAGGTTAAGCCACATTGTTGGCCTGCACCTTCAGAGGTTGATTCTTGTTATTTGTCGGCTACTAAAAAATTATTACTTGTACCCTTGTGCGCCCGACTTCAGTTTCTCTTTACCATTTTCTTATGACTTGACAATTCTTTCGTTGTTCTTCATTATCGATGTTCTGGAAAGGAGTTGATAATGTCAAATAAGCTGTTTTGTTTATAATCAGTTTCAATAGAATATAGTGATAGAAGGCCTTGAAAGAAAGGAATGTATTGCCTTGGGATTGCTTCTATTATTGTTTGTAGCTGTTTTCATGTAATTAGTTCGGGTTTTGCTCTTGTTTTTCCGTTTGATGTTCACCGCCGGCAAGTTATTGTTATACAAGTTATGCTGATCTAATGACAGATATACTCGTATTTAACTCGAGATGTTATGCTAGCTACCCATTCAGCCGGGTTGATTTGTAATTTGAGATGAAAGTGTTAATAGTCGTATGTATTCTGCATATTTTCCCTCTAGTTTTATTGTTTATTTTCATCGTACTGAACTGTAACCGGGATCAACTTTCTTTGGTGTGCTACATAATTTACATTGACGATGCAAGGGTTGTAATCTTTCGGTTCCAGACATTTTGTAATACTTATGTTAACGCGTGTGGTATGGCAATCGGTGTTGATGTTATATATCCAATGAATGGTCTCTTGCAAAGATGGATTCGTTCCCAAATGTTTGATGCCGAAAGTTATGTGAGACTTTGCGGTTTGCATTTAAATTTCCACAGCTCGTTTTCGTGATCCTTCAATACTTTTGTAAATCGATGGTAACGTGTTACCGAAACCCCCCTTTTTTCCAGCAGTGGTGGTGAATGTCAATTGCGTGGCTTAGTGCTTTTGATAAGTCTACACTTGTAGACTAGCCGCCGGGTTCTTTTGGGGGGTTGGGGGACCAGTTCTCTTGCTTTCTTCCAATTTTTGGGTCCTATGAGAAGCTTCATCTTCAAGAATCTTCAACTCCACAACCAATTCTCCAAATAAGTCACCTAGTCCACACTGAAGAGTGCTCACGACCACCACTATTCCTAGATGGGGAAATGTTGTTTCTATCTGGTTGGTTGGAAATATCGATTGGGACACCCCATTCTCCAAATTTCGACTGGAAATTTCGGTTTTGCTCCATCTCCCTAATAGAGGAGGGACTAGCGTATATTGACGGCTCCCAATTTTGTTAGAAAGATTGTACAAATAATGATACAAATATATGATAAATGTAGCATTACACAAGAAAAAAGCACACTGAACAAAAATGTTATTCTTGCAATCTATTTGTATCATCTCGAGTAAAGATGAGATCATATGTATTGGTAAGCTCTACCTCTATTCAAGAGTTGGTACAAATCATCTCTAATAGGGCCCGTTTACTCATGTGGGTTCTATCTCTATTAGAGAAATGTTACAAATGATGGTTTAAATAGATAGTATGGAAATGGATTATCTCCGGATCATTTTCACCTAATTCTTCTCATCAAACAACCCAGGCTCTTAAAATTTGATTCAATGGCTAAAAATTCTTAGAGTAAAGGTGGAAGAGATCCGGAGAGTATACCACACAAAATCCGTGCCGTGCCCACCGAGTCACTTTGACTTACGTGTCCGAAGAGCGTGAGAACAAGTGGATGTTTTTCTGCTTGCTCTCTTGGCAGAAATAGTCCAGCTAATAACAAGCCGCGTTTTATCAAAACCACATCTCCTCGTTCCTCCACATGATTGTAGAAACTTAGCCCCTAAGCCAAAAATAAACCCTAATAAACAAAACAAAATGCCACGTCAGCAACACCTCCTCCTCTTCCAAAGTCCGAACTACCCGTATAAAAGTCAAAGTTTTTCCCCATCGTCGTCACCCCTTAAAGCAGCAAACGATCCAGCACTCGTTTGTTGCCTTGCTCTTTCTACCTCATCCGTTGGAATTATCCAGAGACAGAGAGAGTGAGAGAGAAGGTGGTGAAAAAATGGGAAGAAAGCTCGATGCTTTGCTTGGAAGGAGTCACAAGACCTCCGCCAAGTTCAAACCAGTTTTGAACCTCGCTCTCTCCCGCCTCGCCGTTCTCAAGAAACAGCGCCAGGTCAAGTGCTCTCAGGCTCGATCCGACGTCGTCCAGCTCCTCCAGCAGGGTCACCAAGATCGAGCTCTTCTTCGCGTAAGTTCCGTTTTAAAACGTTCAATTCGGAGTTCATATGACTAAAAAGGAGTGTCCAAACCGCTACTAATCTAATTGACCAAAAATTTAAGAATGCTCGTAAAAGTACTTTCTGGAAAAGCACCTTGGATTTTTAATAATATTTTTATGTGTTTTAAAATGCTTTCAGATAACAAAAGACGCTTACATGTTTACAATAAAAGCAATTATAGCAAAAGCGCGTATAAGTGTTTCCTACAAAAGCATCCCAAACAATCCTTGTAGCTTCACGATCAAATTTTTCCACGGCTCTTATTTTTCTGCTGGAATTCGACGCTGAGAGACTTTGGTTTGTTCTGTTGTTGGCAGGTGGAGCATGTGATCAAGGAGCAGAATATGTTGGACGTGTTTGTCATGATCGAGGGTTTTTGCAACCTCGTGATCGAAAGGGTTCATCTCATTGAACAAGAAAGGTTTGGTTTTTTAAACTAATTAGTATTAATCTAACTTTAAGTACTTTTGTTTAGTTGGCAATTGGCATCAATCTAATTTTATGACTTTTGCGGTGTCGTTGTTCACTTAGGGAATGTCCTGATGAACTGAAGGAGGCAACATCGAGTTTGCTTTATGCGGCTTCAAGATGCGGGGATTTTCCGGAGCTTCAAGAGATTCGCGCGGTTCTCACTGCTCGTTTTGGCAAGGAATTTGCCGCTCGTGCCATCGAAGTGCGCAACAATTGTGGAGTCAACCTCACGGTAATGATCCGGAACAGGCTGAACTTTTCTAATTAATTTCAATGCAAAGCTTACGTTTTTGTCAAGAGAAATTCGGCATGTTAATGATTTGTGTGTTTTTCGGTTTTTGAAGATGATGCAAAAACTGTCAACTAGGATGCCCGTTTTGGAGGTCAGAATGAAGGTGCTCAAAGAAATTGCTGCAGAGAATAACATTGTTCTGACGCTGGAAGAAACGCCTTCCGTTTCCACTGAGGTATGTAATTTGGAAGAATAACTGGAATTACGAGAGGATTAGAACCGAGGTTACTTTGAAATTTATTCATGGTATCTGAGGTTTGCTGTGCGTGATCAATAATGCAGGACAAATCGGATGCGAACAAGGCCAGTTCAAGTGGCACGGGACCAGCGGATAATGTGCAGGCTTCTGCAGAAGAGACCGGAAGAGATGATAGGTTCTCTGGTTCGATTAAGCCAAGGAAATACAAGGATGTAGCTGATGCTGCGCAAGCAGCTTTCGAGTCTGCAGCTTATGCAGCAGATGCTGCAAAAGCAGCAGTGCGACTCTCTAGGTCTGAATCTCATGATCCCGGTGATCAAAATAGTCCCGGAAGTAAACGAGGGAAGCTATCTGACAGATACGAGTCCTTTAAAACTGAATCAGAATCGCAGAGTGAGCAAAATCAAGGTGAATCAAAGAGGTCAACATCTTCTTTAAGTTTAGATTCAGATGGAGATGAGGTGATTCCAATGTCCTCAGATGCCGCAGGGCAGGCCAATCTTTTAGGGAAGGATATAGTTTTTGATGAGAGTGAAAGCGACAGCGAACCAAATACACCGCCCTCGTCTCATAAGCCAATTCCTTCGAGGTTTCAATCCGGCTTGAAGGCAGAGTCAAGGCTTGAATATCCTGCAGTACATGTCGCTGGAGGATCTGCAAAGCAAAGCCCACCGCGATTAAACATTGAGAAGGGACCATTCTCTCTGAGGACTCGACGGGTGCGTGGGTTCTGAGTTTGATTAAATTTGATTGTTTCTTGATCTCCTTTTTTTGTTTTCGGGAACTGTAAACGTGTTTGATTATTTTTGATCGTGAGTACTTCCAGTAATATCTATTGAAATTTGTTTGATACAACTAATCAACGGATACATAAGCCAAGTTTTAAACACCATGAAACTAATTTCTGAACATTTGACTAATGCATGACATCATCTGAAAAACTCAACGGAGTCTAGGCCTCTTGTTACTGCACAGATCCCTAAATGACTGCAAGCTCACACCAACATCTTCATCATAGTCGATCCCGAGCTCCTCCTGCAGTAGCACAACAGACTATTCACAGCTACACCATAGCATATTCCATAAGCGCGTAAAACTGAACATCCAAATACAGGCATACCTTAAATTCCTTGACATCTTTCGGTGAGTTCTCAGTAATAGCATCCCACAGATCTTTGAACATCCTTCGACGCTTTCTCCACTGGCTGACTTTCTCGGAGACCATTTGCTCAACCGCCTTGCGGTCTTCTGGCTTGACCAACGTAACTCCTCCGCGCAATTTTTCCAACCTGTCCTCCATTTCATTGACCTAATACAGGATTCAAAACACCAGACTTCATCCATGCTCCATACCCTTTTTTCCCAGTCACATAATTTGACCTAATCAAGCACAAACCTATCGAATTAACTTACCTCCTTTCTCAGTTTCGCTTCTTTGTCCCTTATTTGCTCCAGAGTCAAATGTGACTGCAATGTTTTTATTTCTGCAACGAAAGTGCATCACGAAATTTCAAAATCTGCAAGGCAAAACCTTAAACAGAGAATTAAAATGTCGAATACCAGTCAATTCTCAAAGCTATGAAATGTAGTAAGGAATAGTAAACGGGTACCTCCCTCAACCTCGCTAATTGCTCTCTTTTGTTCACCCAGCTGTTCCTGCAGTTTCTCATTCTCTTGCTTCATTCGGGTAAGCTCCTCGCTGTTAGGAATGTCGAACTGGTCCTGCCGAGCCAGGTAGATCTTCTGCTTGCCATACTCCTTGAACGAAATCTTGCCATTATCCGCAAGAGTGTCCAGCGCCTTCTGTATGGCCGCCTTCTTGAGGTTGAACTTCTGCAACGCATCTGCCACATTTTGAGAATTCAGCGGCCTATTTTGCTGGACAAAGATGTGCAAATTACCATCAGCATTAGGACGAGCACAAACTCTACTTAGCAATAATCTGTTTGTTTTAGGCTTACTAATTCCTTCAATTAAACGCTAATTAGTAGAATTACAGCGAAATCAAAAAGAGGAAAACAACAACAACAGCAGCAGCAGCAGCTACTAAAAAGAGAAAATTAATCACAATTCGATTTTCTCACCTCCCAAACAGGCCAAAAATCGGAAAGGAAATTCACATATTACCAATTTATTCGACTTTACAGTAAAATTAGATTGCAATAGGAGAAACGAAAGATTATTTTTACCTCGTTCAGGTAGTTGAGGACGATTGCTGTAACGTTTCCACCAAACCAAAGGCAACAAGGAGGTTTAGCGATTCAGTATCGGAAACTCAAATCGAGTGAATTACAGGAGAATTCTAGAACTCGGATTACCTTCTGGGTTTTCGAATTTGGGAGCCATTGATCGGAAACTCTACGGCTCCGGCCGGAGTATCGGAAACTCTACGGGAAATGGCGGGAAGAAGAAGCTTCTCAGAGACTCGAAAACTTTTGGCTCTCGATTTGAAATGAAAACGATAATAATGAGCTCCCTTTCGGTATACGACGCCGTATCTCCAATTTAAAAGTGGTTTTCTAATGGACAACTTTATCCCTGTTTCATACTCGAATTTACGTAAAGCAAACAAAATCGTTAATTTGGCGCCGAGAGGCAGGCCACGCGGTGACTTTTCATTTCTCAGAAACGATGGCCACCGTCAGCGGGACATCTCCGCCTCTGCTCTGCTGCACCAACCGCCGCGCCGGTTTTTCAAACAAGCCCTCCCTCAGATCTCGACCCCAAGACCCAATTTTGCACGCAAAAGCCGTTTTCTGGGGCATTGGACTCCCAAACGAGGCCTTCACAACCGCCCGCAACCCACGAAAGGAACTCCAAATTGAAGCCGCACATGTGACGCGCGGATCGCCCGAAATACACCACCGCCGTCCAGCAGGAGAACGACGGCTCAGAACGGCTGCTTCAGATTGCTGCATGGCTTGCTGAGGGAGTCTACATTTTGTGGCTTTTTCTCCTTCCTTATGCTCCTGTGTGTAAATTAATGTACTTCGAGTAATTCTTATATATATGTAGTAATACATACATACACACATACATACATACATTTATATATATAATTATAATTAGCTGCTCAAAGATGTTGCCTTGTTGGGATTTCAGGGAGACCCAGTGTGGGGAATTAGTTTGGATACAGTGAACTCTCTTGTTTCTCTCTGAATTCCTTCTTCATTTTGCCTTTTTATCTACTCCAGTATGCTCAATCAATCAGTTATTCATTTTCTGAGTTCAATTTCCATGTTGCCCCGTCACGGTGACGATATCCCAAGTTAACAAGGCACCAGAGTGCGGAACATAGAAACAGGTGACAGTGCATGATCGGCTTGAGATACCGGTACGGTGAAATCCCAGCTCATATTAGTCATATCTAGTAGTGGTGAATTTTAATTATTTTTTTTTTTTTTTTGTGATGATATCTGCAATTAACTTGTTGGCAGAGTAGTTGGTGTTGGTTTGATTGATGCCCCAGTTCTTCACCCGGTCAGAATTTGTCATATCAAGTGAATGGTTTTTACTACCAAGTTTTACTATTTAAGCATCTTTTCTGACATGGACATTGGACAATTTGTTTTTTAGATGTCTGAAGGATTATTCAACTTTGTGATTGAGTGGACATTCATGTTTTGCTCCTCTGCTTTTCACGGATTGAAAGAGGGACAGACACAAGTGGTCTCTCGACGCCCTATGGGCTTTTCAGATGTTTCTCACTATTAGTGTGCTTTTGTCCAAAACTTATTGTTGTCGATTGTGAGCATTAATCTATGAATTTTGATAATCGGGAGGGCGGATTCAAACGCAGGACCTCTTTCGTGATTGAGAAACAGATATCACTAGGTCAAGAGCTAGTTGTTATCGGTCTATGATTTTATATTTGCTTTGTAATGGGCATGTTTTCGGAGACCAGTTACATTTTCCATCAATTTGATCAATGTTGTTGTGCATGTGATATGAACAGCTTTTCTAATACCTTACATGGCTACCCGGCTGAATGAGGCTGAGTCAGACTACACTCCAAGCAAGGGCTCACAGCTCGGGTCTGTCATGACCAATGGTGCTCCCATCGTTGGACTTGCTAGCGGAGCGATATGTCTGATACCTGCATTGTGGGCACTTTTTGGCCGAATGGACGGAAACTTAGGGAATATTTCAGAAAGACGGGAGTTCTTGATCGGTTACCTAGGATCGGAGAGGCTGGCTTATGCATTCATTTGGGATATCTGTCCTTATCTTCCAGCCCTGGTTAATAGGTGACAATCTTCAAGATGTTGGGAGCAGCAAGATTGGTATCGTAAATTATCTTAGATTTGTACCAGTTGTTGGCTTAGTTGCTTACCTTTTTTGTCTGAATCTTGACGAGGAACTGTAGCTTTTACAGCAAGTAAATGTCTGATTGCAATAAGTGTAACAAAGACAAAACATTGTACTTCAATATGAACATGAAGCTTCCTTTGTTCTTCCCAAAGACAAAAAACACAAAGACAAGGGCGTGAAGTTTCCCCCCATTTGGTAAAGCCACAGGGCCAATAATTATTAAAAAGGGAACTTCAACAAAAAACTCCCGTATTGTTCATTTTAACGAAAAACCATATTTTTACTCTAAGAAGTCAATCATGGTACTATTCACTTACAACACTTTTTTGTCATTTTCGTTAAAACTCAAAGTTTTCAAATCCTTTTCATTAATTTTTCGTATTAAAAAGGGCTTTTGCGCACGTTTTTTTCTTCCTTCTACACCCTCATGTTTATTTATGTTTCATTTGTATTTTCTTTTCATTGGAGGCTCATATGTTAGAGTGACCCAGATAAAATAAAGGGTGGTGCTATTCACAAACTTATTTTTATCTCTCAATCTTAGTTTCCGGCCTTCGGATCGAAAGAATTGAAGAATATCAATAGATAAAAATCAACAAGGATGTGTGAGAAAAAAAAAAAGTGCCACAGCAGGTACGGATCTATTTTCAACCAGAAAGACATGCATATTGCTTTTTGGGTAAGTCCAAAGACGTGCATTCTTCTCTATCATTGACGAGTGCCACAGCAGGTTAAAAGGAAGAGAGACTCACTTGGGCTAATTCGTCTGCCAACAGCATGGAAAAGCCACTTCTGGGCAGCTTCAAGGGAGCTGAGTACGAAAATGCAGAAAGCAGATGCACGCGTTTCAATTCGATGGGTAAAAAGATGATGAATTCTTGGAAAGATTTACTACATTTTGCTTCAAAAGCATGGCAAATGGGCCGTTCTGATCCCAGGAAAGTCATCTTTGCAATAAAAATGGGACTGGCTTTGTCCACAGTTTCGTTGCTAATATTTTGGAAAAAATCGTATCGCGACGTTAGTCAGTACTCAATCTGGGCTATCCTCACTGTAATTGTGATGTTCGAATTCAGCATCGGTACGCTATGTTTGATTTCAGAACGTAACGTGACAATTTAGGTCTGTTTGATAACCATTGTTTCGCTTTTCGCTTTCAGTTTTCAGTTTTCCGTTTTCATGCAGGTGGGACTTTCATCAAAGGATTTAACCGCGGTTTCGGAACATTGTTTGCCGGAATGCTTGCATTCTGCTTTTCCGAGTTATCTTTGCTGGCTGCAAAACTGGAGGAAGTTGTGATTGTCATAAGCATATTTATCGTTGGTTCGTATAAGTACTAATTGCAAATTAAAATCATGGTTAAATTCAACCTTTTTTCTGACTGCTTCTTCTCGACACCCTTTAGGATTTTTTGCGTCTTACTTGAAGCTGTACCCAACAATGAAGCCCTACGAGTACGGGTTTCGAGTTTTCGTGTTGACATACTGCATCCTAATGGTTGCTGGGAACAGAACAAGGGAGTACAATGAGGCAGTTGTGACTCGACTGGTTCTTATTGCAGTGGGAGCTGCCGTTTGTTTAGCTGTTAACATATGCATATATCCGATATGGTCGGGAGAGGATCTGCATAACTTGGTTGTGAAGAATTTCAAGGGAGTTGCTACTTCATTAGAAGGTACAATTACAATGTGTGAATTTTTTCTTTAATTTCTAGTCAGCTTTCTGCTCTATTAATCTGCTCGACTTTATTGCTCAGGCTGCGTTAACGGGTACCTAAAATGTGTCGAATATGAGAGGATCCCGTCACGAATTCTTACATACCAAGCTGCAGATGATCCACTGTACAAGGGCTATCGATCCGTGGTAGAATCTACAAGCCAAGAAGAAACTCTGGTATGATTTACCCCAAGAAGAAGCACTTTTGCTTATAAGCACTTCTTCTCTAGAAAGCACTCATACAACCCGGAAGTTCTTGGGAGTTTTGATTGCCATTTGACTTGTTTATGCAGTTGGGATTTGCAGTCTGGGAACCACCTCATGGGCGTTACCGAATGTACAATTATCCTTGGACAAATTTTGTGAAATTAAGTGGTGCATTGAGGCATTGTGCGTTTATGGTCATGGCTCTACATGGGTGCATTCTTTCCGAAATACAGGTAACTCTGCGTGACGAGAAAGAAAACGATTACATTACAAATTGTGATTCGGACATATTAATTGTACAGTTTCCTTCACACAAACACTGTTGGTTTATAATTTTGTACTGCATGTAGGCACCAGCAGAAAAGAGGCAGGTTTTTCGTGATGAACTCCAGCGGGTTGGAGCTGAAGCTGCCAAAGTTTTGCTGGAACTCGCCAAGAAAGTGGAGAAGATGGAAACATTAGGCCCTGGAGACGTGCTCCAAGACGTGCATGAGGCAGCAGAGGAACTGCAGAAGAAGATAGACCAGAGATCATATCTTCTGGTCAATTCAGAGAGTTGGGAAATCGGAAGACGGCCTAATGGACCACAAAATGCTTCAACAGAGGACATGCTTGGGGACCAAGCATCTTGGCCCGTGCCTCTCTCATTCGGTGGCGGCAGCGGCGTTATCAAGGAATGTAACTGTGGAACATATGAAAGCGCGAGCGCCTTGTCCCTGGCCACATTTGCTTCGCTACTGATTGAGTTTGTTGCCCGGCTTCAAAATGTGGTTGACACATTCCAAGAGCTCGGTGAGAAGGCAGACTTTCAGGCGTTTGTTCCGGATACACTACGGAATTTTCAAGCTACTGGAAATCTTGTGGGAATCAGTTCCGTTTGAACTCTAAACCTGAGAAGAAATTTAAAAAGGGGACGTTTCGAAAAAATGAGTCGATTATCAACTTAATAATGTCATCAGTGGGTGCGGACAACAATTCCTTGCATTTCAAACCATCCAGAGTTTGATCAGATGATACATGTCCAACACTCATCTATGAGCCTATCTATCACAAATCACAACTCAAAATTATATCTAAGAACGCTTGCGCTTGGATTTCTTTTTCGATGGTTCTCCAGACTCCGCAAGATATGCTTCTGGATTTACGTTCTCAGCCATTTTTTGTATTCCATACTCTTTTGCCTTTTTCTGTAAAACAACCAGCGAAAAGGAGGTAAGGTAAAACGAAACCAACAAGACAACCATGTTTCTAGAGAGTGATCAAAATGTAAGCTTCTAGCAATGCCTTATTTCTATCATTATAGTTTACCTTCAGAGACGTGGCCACGGCAGCCAGATCTTTGCTACCATCATCAGATTTGGTATCCTGAACTACAGGCTCCTGAATCAGGAAAAACAGAAAATTAACAACAGCTCATAGGAAGATGTATAAGTAACTTAAAGAATCAAAGCACCCTAACACCAAACAAAACAGAAAGCATCAATGTACTACCTTTGGAGGAATGAAAGCAGCTTCTCTTTTTCGCTTATTTTCTGCGGTTTTTTCAGATTGTTTCTCCTGCTTCTCTTGCCACTTCTTTGCTGATTTCACTTTGTCGTTCAAAAAGTATTCTCCAGTTTCTAATTGTATGTCAATCTGAGAAAGCAACAGAAAAATGAAAATTTATATGACAACTAAAATGCAAGTTGATATAAAATAACTTCCAAAAATTTATTTTTACTTGGAAAAGGAAGAACATTGGGAACTAAAAAGGAGGGATATTTAAACGGATAGAATCAGACATCAATCAAGAACTAAAATGGTATAAAAAAGTGGGGAAGAAAGAAGGCAAACGTGTTCAGTAACATTTAAAAGTTAAGCCTCTACAATTAACTAAGACAGAGATCACCGACATTTTAATAATTTTAGGTAGAGAAGATACTTTATCTATAGACATAACAGCTTCCAAAAATAGTTACTTTTGTTATGCATATTCAGGAGAACAGCAACCTTATTATGCCTCATTCACAAGGAACCCTTGCAGGAAGATAGACCATACAAGAGTCTGGTAGCAAATTACTCACCTTGCTAGGTTGCTGGGGAGGCGGGAATGGTGTATATGGTCTCTTCTCTTTACTCTTGACCTTGTTTTGATTAATATTTTTCCTGGGGAGAGAAAGAGAGAATAGTTCAAAACTGAAATAATAGTGCCTAAGACACCTACAAAACATAGGCAGGCAATAGCAGTTGTCAGCATGCACAGAGTAAAAGAAAAATGAAGTAGAAGTCATACTTCTTGAACTTTGGAAGAAATCTATCCCAGTTCTCATTTGCTAGCGCCGGATCCTTTTCAAGTTCTTTCCTCACCATGAGAGTCTGCTTACCAGGAAGGAAGAGATAAAAAGTAAGCACAGAGGATTCATTCACAGACCTTCAGGTCTAACTTTGTAAGGTGAGAGACAATCTTGATGAAATCACATAGTACAACTACAATCACCTTGATATGAAATATGGGATGCATTGCATTCGTCATGCAGTCTTCCACAATCCTCCTGACTTGCTTCAATGCTTTAAATGAACCCATTACAGATACGGTGTTTCCCTATTCATTTACAAGCAAATTAAAATTATTTTGCCATAGTTTCACTTCAAATAAAAATGTACAATATAGCAATCACAATCACAAGGAATAGCACACTTACTTGAACCAGAATATAACAGCCTGTAAGTATTTCAAGTGCCTGTGTTCAAATTATATTGTGAAAGATTAGAGAAACAGAATAAGATATAAGGATATACCTAATGAAATGTGAAATCATGTATAATTGAATTATAAAACATGATATCTGGTTTACTCCATGCACCTTCAAAGTAGACGAATTGGGGCCAATCAGGCGGTCCCGCCGTTTTACAAATCGTTCCTGCACTCAATAAAAGAGATTGGAATGCTTAAGTAAATTATTCTTGGAAATCTTCCAACTGAAACAGTTCAACAGTTGGTATTATTACAAAAGTCAACAGTCAGTACTTATTTCTTCTAGCCAATCCCTACCGTTCCTCCATTGCTAAGGATAGCTCTTGGGTCCAACTCACACGGAGTAGGCAGTTGAACCCAAAGGCTAGGTAGGAGTTTGAGGAGGGCTACCACCTATCTTGTACCCAGTTCTAAGACCAAAGGAAAGAGGAAATTGATTCAACAATCACTCGGAAATATTTGGATTGTCAACGCCATAGTACTCAGCAATTTAAAATTATCAAAATACGCTGCCTTTGCTGAATGAGAGTTACTAACCACTTGTTCTTTGCACAATAGGCAAAATTAAGTCGTAATACATTGTACTAGAGGTAGTTTAAAAATAAACCTAAAATGATTTGACCCTTCAAATGTGAATTTTAGTAAAATAACATTCCTCTTGCGGATCAATTGTTTATAAACCAGTAAACTTATCCTTGTATTCCTGTTTCACTAAACCTAAGAAACTCAAAACCTAAAGCATCAAACAAATGCTCATATCATCTTAGTGCTGACACAAAAAGGTCCTGCATCAAAACTACATAGAAGGCTTCTGAAAAGAAGAAAAAAAAATTGATGGGAAGTTAATAGCTTGGATCTGTTCATAAGAAAACTGACAATCCACTACTAAAAGTAAAAGAAAGAAATTTGAAGCAACACACCTTACTTCTCACGAAGCTGCTAATCTTGATGATGTCACATTGCATTTCATCATTCAGTATTTTTATTGCCTGAAACAAAGGTTGAGCACTTGAATCAGAAAATTCACACAAAAAAATTGCCCAACCCAAAACTCAATTCCATGAATGAGACTATATATAGTGGGGTTTGTAAGTAACGAGAAATAGTATCATATAGTTATATATTACAGGTTTATAAAATTGATCCTGAGCTCTTCACTAGGATTCAAATAATCTGACGTAAAACTAATGGTATATCATTTCTGTTGATTCTGAAAAGAATATTATAGCATCGAAAGATAAAAAGGAATTAGATCGAAAGAACAAACAGAAATACCTTAAAAACTACTTCAAACTGTTTGAATCCATAGGAAAGCCGATTCAAACATAAGAAGATAATAACAAGAACCTGACATTTGTACCTGAGGTGCAGGAACACTTCTTGACAAAAGTTTGATAAGATCCCTAGCTTTGACAACAATATATGGGTCTTTAGTCTTCCTGGTTGTTGAGACTGTCATGGAACCCTCAACCTACCCACATTACGAAAGCAACAGTTAAGCTACATAAACCAAATCAAACAGAATTTTTCATAAGCCACCCATCGGTCACGAATAAATTTCATAAAGGTCAACCAACCAAATTTACAAATACAAGAGTTTGCACAAACGAAAGCTAGTGCAACATACCAGATTCAGTTCGCACGTAATGCCATACTCTTTCAAAGCAGATTTCACCACTGGCCAGCATTCTTGCAAGTACTTTTCTGCACAACAGAGTGCAAAGACTCGTGAGTGAGAAAATACAATAGCATAATTTCCTATAATGCACACTGAAAAACAAGATCCCGACTGTGCAACAGCCATATTTCAAACTAGGTTTTCTCCTTTTGCCTCACCTGAGTTCCCCAAATTCACTTTTCACACAAATTTCAAATACATTTTCTTAGCAGCCAAACAACAATGGCAACAAAATTTAGCATCATAAAATGCTTACCGGCACAAAACAGCATAAAAAGAATTAGGTCAATAAAACAGATTCTAACCCAATAGTTTTTACTTTACCCAAAATCTCAAACACTTATTTCAGGACTAAAACTTTTGAAATTTTCTTTTCTTTTCTTTTCCCACACTTTCTCGGCAGCCAAACAGAGAAAAAAGAAAGAGTAATAAGAAGAAGAAGAAGAAGTGAGGAGGCACCTCTGTATTGAGGGAACAGCGTAGAGAAGGAGGTGACTTCGAGCATGCCACCTTCGTTCCAAGAAGGGTCGAACTTCTCAATCGTCCAGCGGTCAATGTTAGGGTCGTCGTCCCAAGGCTTCGGTTTGCGGTGCTTGTCCTTGCGCCTCTGCGGCTGCTGAACGCCAGCGTTTTCGCTGGTCTCCATCGTCGCTCTGTTGTTTTTGCTTCGGCGTTTGAAACCCTAGACGTATAGAGACAGAGAGACGAGTGTTGTAAGATTTAAAAATCCATGGGTTTGGGTCGGCCCGTTTATCTAGCTATTCAAGTAGCGAGGGAAAAAATGGCCGTTATTTTGCAGGGAAACCAAAACAAAAGAAAAATAAAAGTGCCATGGATTTTTTGTTTACAAGTTTTTTTAATGTCTTAACTAGCATTTGTTTACACACTTTGTGTGTATGAACATATTTTTTTAGAAAATAAGAAGGAGAGAGGGAGAGAGAGAGAGAGAGAGAAAAAAAAAACGTAGGGGGAGTGGGAGATTTTTTTTATTTTATTTTTAATATTAGAGGTATTTTAACATCACATGTCATGATGCTTCAATAAAAAACAGTAAAATTTAGACATGTGAAATTACATTATTACTCATCATTTTTTTTGTGTGATAGAATACTAAATATTCTTTTCACCCTCTTTTTGTTAACAATGAGGATTTCATTAATTAATAGAGATTAATATAGATTATTTGAGTTATAATATATTTTGTCTGTAAAATATTTTTTCTAGAATAAATATGGAAATTGCTAATTTTTATTAGTACTCTTCAATTAAAAAAAATATTATTATTAATGCTCTGCACTCCTAATTCTTTTGGGTACAGGTAAAGGTTCTTTATTTTTTCCATCACATTTTAGTAGTATTTTTATTTATTTGTAAGTAAGAGGTTTTATATTCACCTTGAAACAATTAAATATTTATTTGATGGAAATATCAAAATAAAGAAGTTCGTGTATACAAATCATATTTCATTATCCTCTCTTCGGGCCCGAAAATAGTGAATAACTGTTGCCTCCAATTATCCCCTTTTTGAAAAGAAGACTAATTAGTATACTTTACAACAAGTGTTTTTGTTGATGTTGTATCTATAAAAAATGTGTCGTGTTGTGTTATTTTTGCGTTGTGTGAAATTATACTGAATTTATTTTTTGATCAACAAAATATACTCAACTTAAACTATCAGTCAATGGAATATTCAAAATTTATCCACAAATTTATGTATTGTATATCACTTGTTTTTACCTATGTTTCTTAGTAATTTTTTGGGACTTTTAGATCGAGGTTCAAAAACGTAGTGTCCTTTTAGAAGTGAGTATAGTTATCTAGTTATATCTTTTTATATTTTCTATACTCATTTTATATTTTCTAAATATATTAAAAATCAATTAAAATCTTCTAATATTATG